AATGGATCCGCAAACCACTTGTCAACAAATCAGGTGAATCCAGCATTTAGGGCCGTTTGCATATTGCGTATTTCTAGTTTGCACAAGTTTGTTGTTTCCAATGGAGGTGCGCGGTTTGCACACACAATCGGCGTGATGCGCTCGCACTAGTGAACCCCGGGCTGCGAACGCACCGCGAGTCACGTGACAAGAATGGACCGATCAGCTTCAGCTTGTATGGAATATACACATTTTGGTAAGATTAGTTTTCTCAGACAAACACAGAACACACAAACACTGCAGTGTTTTGTACTTTTCTCCATAAATAAAACTTGTATCAGAGCGACAGCAATGTTTTTTCAGCTTGTCGTCTTCTGAGAAAACGGTTATTGGTCGCCTAGCAAACCTACGAAACACCAAACCCCCTTGTCCACGGTAAAATTGTCAATCGTTGACCACTCCGTGGTGATAAACAGGTTGAGGACCACTGCTCTAGCTAAACAAATACAGACAAATTCGTAGTCCGTCCTCCACAAAAAAGACTCACTGGTTCGCCTGGCAGCAGTCCTCACACTATTTGATAGAGCATAACAAATATTATGCACGTAATAAATATTAATAGCCTATATTGTTTTTCCCCTTATACACCAGTGTGAATACTGATATTTTTGTTATCAAATTTCAAATAGGGCCAATTTAAAGGCCAAAGGCTCATTTTTTTTTCAGTTACAAATGGCCTACTGATGTTTTGCTTTATATTTTACATTATTTGTGCATAAATGTATCTAGATTTAGTAATAAACATATTGTTTGTTTGAAAACAAAATTTTTTGTCATCATTACTGCAATTTTTTATGAGCGGTAATATCATTAAATGTGGAGGAGGGCCTCACAATATTTTCCGGGGAAAAAAGGCTCTTAGGCAAAAAAAAGGTTGGGAACTACTGTCCTAGATCACAAAACTAAACAATTTTTGTCCTAAAATAAACTTATTTTGCACTTCATTAGAAGCCTGCTATAAAATTAAAGGGATAGTTCACCTAAAAATGAACAATTACTCAACTTACTCAAGTGATTGTAAAACACAAAAAAAGATATTTTGAAGAAAGCTGAAAACCTGTAACCATTAACTTAAGAAAAGCCGAACTCTATGGAAGTCAATAGTTACAGATTTCGGGCTTTCTTCAAAATATTTGCTCAATTCTTCAAAATGAGTACAATATAAAATCTTGTATGTACATAATAAGTGGATTGTAATAAATGATTAATTTAAAAGTATTTCATGTCATTTAAAATAATGTGGCACTAATAATCTTTATAGCATTAATATAGAGTCGTATGTGTGATAGCTATGGACAAGCTGTTTGTGATGAGTTTCAATACAAAGAAGTGAATTAGACTTTAGGAAAACTAATATTTCATAAACTATTTGTGAATGAAGCATCCAGTTTCTTCCAATGAGTCAAAGAGTGTCCAAAATCATCACGTTCTGATATGAAAAATAAAAATGGAATTCTTTTGGTAGAAGAGAAGCCACCATAAGCCTTTTTCTTATAGTTTAAGACTAAGCGCAGACGCTCAAGACAGTTGCAAATGATTTGCAATGTGATCAGTCTGCTGCTTTCCCCAGTAATGTTGCCCCATTGCACACATTTTTATAATCCAATGATCTGTCAAAACAAAATCACATGACATTTTTTGATGCGCACAACAAAATTTATTCAGTAAATGTCTTTCCATCGTAGTTTATGCACATTTCTTATCAGATAAAACATTTGTTTTTCTTTACACTAACTGACAGAAATCTTGTCGTCAATCCCAGTTGTAAGAGCAACAAATAATCCTAATTAAATAATAAAAAATCAAGGCATGATCATATTTTATTTTGGTAAAATAAGCATAATCTAGAGGCCTTTTCCTTTCATATAAGCCACCTCTGATACCAAATAATCAACTAGAGTTAGTTATTATTTACTAGAGTAAACTATTTACTGTTATTACTAGAATTATTAGTTATTATTTGTAGTTACTAAAACTTAAAAAAGGCGACAACAATATTGTCAGGTAGTGTATGTGTTTTAAACAATTACATGCATCTTGGTATTTTCATTAAACACTTTTTTTAATGTGACATTCCATAAAAATAAATAAATAAAAATATGCGACAATGTGGAAACATAGTGAAGACCGTAGCCTGGCATTATGGACATTTGCTACAAACCTGCACAGGAAATTTGTGCAGGAAATAAAATTGGATTCACTGATGATTCACTTCAGGCAGAAATTGCTTCTTTCTTTTTAGGAGACAAAAGCGTTGTTCATCTTTGAAACTTTGTAGACATTTTAGACTTACAAACAGCCACATTACACAGGTAATATCTACAAAAGCACTCAAAACAACCTGTAAAACTTTGTCATTTTTTTTTTTTTGTCATTTTAGGATGAAAATGACGAGGTTGTTCCTTTCCACCTGGACGAGGACTTCGATTACGATAATGTTGTGCTTTCTCACAAATACGTGATCCAGGAACAGAACAGCAGACCGTCTTGACCTGTGAATGAATGTCAGTGTGGCACAAGCTTCTAACAGCTGGTTTTACAGCCTTAATACAATCCAAAATGTTTTTATTCTGTCAAAGTAGGAAGACCGTTTGCTGTTTTGAGTGTTAATTGAAACTTTTTTTCTGTTAATTAACAGTTTCCATATTTTGTGATTACACAAGCGTTTATTTACGGTTGTGAATTGCATTATGGGAGCTTGATCTCTGCTCTGTCGACTTTTGATGTTGAAAATGTAATTCTACACTTTAACAAAGTGACTATCATTGATGTTTTAGTAGTTTGAAATGGGAAATATCGAGGAATAAGTCTGTCAAATAACAGAAGATGTACTGGCATTACAAGGTTTTTGTAGTGTAATTTCCTGCACCAATACAGACAATATATCACTTTAAACTATTCAAAACATAAATAAAAGTCACTTTTCAAACTTTTAAAGGTTAAAAGTTGATGGAGGAAAGATGAAGGTGCAATTCAAATGCATAAATAAGCAGAAAAATAAAAACTTGAATCACAAAATAAAGAAAACTGCTGTTTTATGAATCTATTTTTACAATGTAAGTTAATGTTAGCATCACTCTCCTCAAATACACTCAGTCCAGCATTATTTAAATGACTAATAGAAAACTTAAAGATAAGCAAATGCGGTTTTATTCCAAGTGTTGGGCACATTTTTTTAAAAGAGTAGCTAGTTATAGTTACTTCTCACAAATACAAACAATGTTAGTAACAAAATTATAAGAGTTACTAGTTACCATGGAAAGTAACTAATGCATTTACTTAAAAAATGAATTTGTCGATTGATCAGTGGTGGAAAGAGTACTGAATAGTCATACTTACTGTAAGTAAAAGTACCATTACGTGCCTAAAATGTAGTGCAAGTAGAGTAAAAGTATCTGTTGTAAATATATTTAGAGTACACTAAAAAAAAATGATTCAGAGATGATTCCTTGGATTTACTAATTCTCTTTTCGTTAAGTGGCTGCAAACAATTTATTTGGGCTGAATTAAAAAAAACTAATTAAGTTGAATTTCATTACATTTAATTTGTTTGTTTAAATTCAACACAAATGATTTTTTTGCAGCAGTTTTGCAGACATTTTTTTCAGTGTATGAGTAAAAAGTAGACCTTTCAAAAGTACTTATTATGCTATTATTATTATGCTGAGTATTATGCTGTAAAAAGCTGATGCATTACATGTAATTTGTGGATGTATGTAAACGTAACATTCTGTAGTGCATTTAGTTATAGCCCAGCAGGCAAAAAATGTCATAAGACTTTAATAATAGGTTTAGATTTAGGTTGTGATGTCAGTTAACAAAAATTTCTAGCAGGCGTCTAAGGACAACGCTATTTTGACATTCTACCTCAAATGACGTTGATATTGTGGGGGTTTCTTAGGTTTTCCTCTTAATCAATCAAACTCAGTCTGGAGGTTATGAATATCGGAGCAGTATACTTTATTGTTGACAACAAAGGAAAATCTTCAGGAGACCCCCAGTAGCATCTCTGTCTGAATATTCTGTCTCACTGATGTTCTGGCCTGTTTAAATACTCTTTTGCAACTGTTTTTTCCCTTTGTTCTAATTTGTCACACAAGATCCCACCTAGGTTAACCCTTGACCCCAAATTCCCCCTCTGTCATCTGTTTTTGTCTTAGTTCTACATATATCACACAAATTCCATCTAGGTTAAACCCTGACCCAAACCTGATAACTAAATAACTTATCCATTTCTTGTGATATGGTAATTCTTCTAATGGTATGCAAGTCTACAAGCAGATTATACACATACAATTTGAATATACACATTAACTTCACATTTTAAAGAGTTTAAAATCCACTTCAATATTTGGTTGATTTCAGGTTGTGTTGGAAAGTGACGAAAATTGAAATTTGAGCCAACATTTTAAACCAATGTCATAATGATCCCACATACTGACAATATTTCGTTAGGTATGGCAACCAAAATCCAATGTCTGATAGACGTCATAGTGGTAACCACAACACAACATCAAGCTGTAACATCATTATATGTTGATATTTGATTTGGGTTCTGACGTCAACCCGATTTTCAAAATGCAATGTCCCCACGATGTTGGGGTACAACGTCAATAGGACGTCATGTTGACATCTTGTGCCTGCTGGGTTTCAAAGGCCATTTCGTTAAGGCCATTCATAATACAGTAAACATCTGACATCTTCTCATCAGTGACATTCAGTCCAAACAGTCTCTGGGTCAATGCGTGTATAGATTTTCGACATCTTCTTAAACACTTTTATGCTTCCTAACAGTTTGCTGCATTTATGAATCGCCCATGTCTTGAGGTAGTTCATTATAATGCGATATTACTTCTACGGTATGTGCGATTCGATTTGATTGCACGGGAATCACAGGACTGATTTTTGTAATCCCAATAGACAAGTAAAAATGAAGTGGTGACTACAGGTTGAAGGAAGATAGTGGAGTAAAAGTGCCACTGCTGCAGTAAAAATGTACTCAAGGGAAAGTAAAAGTACACATTTTTAAGACTACTTAAAGTCCAATTCCTGAAAAGAAACTACTCAATTACAGTAATTTGAGTATTTGTAATTTGTTACTTTGCACCACTGCAAATGACTATAAAATAAATGTAAAACATTGTACACTAATCTACACTATTTTAATGTTGTTGTGGGACAATGTGAGGACAACGGCAGCATGTCCTCATCTATATATACAGATATTTTTTGTTTAATTCTGAGTAATAAGTGTTTGCTGTGGAGAAAATTAAGTTTTATTTGCTTTGACGCCGTGGATTCGTCTCCTCACGTTATGACTTGCGTAGCCACTAATTTTGTGGTTGGATATGATGGCGCGAGGTGCTTCATTAGATTAGAATTACTGTTCACCAACGCAGAGAGACTTTTTTTTTTTTTTTTGGAATTTCATATCGTTGCACCATACATAAACGTTCGTGCCTTTCACTTCAATGAGGGAAAAGTAGTGCTTATATTTCCAGTTTGCAAACGCTTCCTTTGAACTTGTTGGATTTGCCATCGTTCTGACTCCCGGACGTTAGTGTGTGCGACTGACTATGTGTGTAAACCCGCACTATACTCCCTCTGATTGGCAAACGATTGAAATGTAATCTATTTAAGCCAATCATCACGTTCTCAGGTACACTACGAGAGAGGTCAATGGCTGAGAGAGACGCTGCTTGCATGAAAACCGCTTCAGTGTACTCAATTTTAGTAATGCGCATTTTTATAGTTAGTAATGGCATTGTAACGGGGGAAACAGTCATTTTGTTATAATTATTATTAATAATTCATTTGATTATTTGTTACTAAAAACAGTATCACTGTTAGTAAGCCATTTATTTATAGCATCTTTATTCCCATCACTGCTTATTAATTACTAGTGAGTAAAGAAAAAACTGATTTGATTCCTTCATAATCACCGGAGAATGATTTTTAGAAAATCGGGAGTCTATTTTTATATTGGCTTTCAAAGCATTTTCACAAACCCACTGATTCATATCTGGTCCCAATCAAATGTCATTATGATTATTATTTTACAACATGCTCCTTTCAAACCTTCATTTTTTGACTTTGCAGCTCAGCTAGGTTACTAAATGTACTTGGGGGAAAAAAGTAATTAATTGCTCATTGTGTCTTACTGCATTTTATCCACCGGAACAAAACGCTCAGGGACTTTCTTTTTGTTCTCCGTACAAGCCTAATGCTCTGAATAAAAGCCCAAAATGCACTGCTCTTTCTTTTTCTTGACCTGATCGTTTATTTTGACATTTCGAAGAATGTACTCGCAGACCATAAAAAAGAAACTTTCCAGCATGTTTCCTTGCTTTTTCACCACCCCTACCTTCATTTCCAGCTTTTCTTGGTTTGTTCTTTTTCTTTGTAACCTGTGACCCGGAGCTTCTAAAGCGACAAAAATAGAACAGTTTACTGTTAGTTCACCTGCACTGAGACATCAGGGTAAAACTGTTCTTTTGCAGACATAGTGTGGGAGCATTTTAAGACATTTTAAAAGACATCGCCTCCTATCATTAGACAAATTTGAAGGCAACGTTGCATATGTCCTACTTTAAGAAGTGCTGAGATCTGTGAAAAATCAGTATGATGGAAAAATAAACGAAATCCTTAGATGTTTACACACAAAAACATGCTTTAATAACAACAACAAAATTAAAATAAAATAAAAAAATTATAATAATAAATGTCATCATCATCATCATAGTATTTAATATAAGAAACTCTCTTTGATCATTTTATCATCAATAAAATATATATTTTAAAAATGTTTTAATTATTTTATTTTTATTTTTTTGCAGTAATAATAGTAATATTTAATAATAATATATATATTTTTTGTGTACAATTTGAACATTTTTGTTTTATAAGCACACGCAAACACACTCATCAGGAAACTCAATGCATTTAGGCATGTAGACATGGTCAAGACGATCTGCTGCAGTTCAAACAGAGCATCAGAATGGGGAAGAAAGGTGGTTTAAGTGACTTTAAACGAGGCATGGTTGTTGGTGTCAGACGGACTGGTCTGAGTATTTCAAAAACTGCTGGTCTACTAGGATTTTCACGCACAACCATCTGTAGGGTTTGCAGAGAGTGGTCCAAAAAAGAGAAAATATCCAGTGAGCTGCAGTTCTGTGGGGGCGAATGCCATGTTGATGCCAGAAGAGAATGGCCAGACTGGTTTGAGCTGATATAAAGACAACAGTGACCACTCGTTACAACTGAGGTATGCAGAAGAGCATCTCTGAACGCACAACACATCCAACCTTGAGGCAGATGGGCTACAGCAGCAGAAGACCACATTGGGTGCCACCTTGTGAGCAAAGAGCAAGAAACTGAGGCTACAATTCTCACAGGCTCACCAAAAGTGGACAATAGAAGCAACATTCGGATGGTAGGGTCAGAATTTGGCGTCAACAACATGAAAGCATGGATCCATCCTGCCTTGTATCAACAGTTCAGGCTGGTAGTGGTGGTGTAATGGTATGTGGGATATTTTCTTGGAACACTTTGGGCCCATTTGTACCGATGATTATAGTGTTTCAACACCACAGCCTACCTGAGTATTCTTGCTGACCATGTCCATTCCTTTATGACCACAGTGTACCCATCTTCTCACGTCTTCTCACGTCATGACTGGTTTCTTGAACATGACAATGAGTTCACCGTGCTTTGTACTTTGGAATTGGCCTCCACAGTCATCAGAACTCAATCCAATAGACCTTTTGGTTGTGGTGGAATGGGAGATTCTCATCATGGATGTGCAGCCGACAAATCTGCAGCAACTGCGTGATGCTATCATGCCAGTATGAACCAGAATTTCTGAGGAATGTTCCCAGTACCTGATTGAATCTACGCCACGAAGGATTAAGGCTGTTCTAAAGGCAAAAGTGGGTCCAACCCGGTACTAGTCAGGTGTACCTAATAAAGTGACCGGTAAGTGTAACTCTTTTTAATAATCTTCTAGGTGTTTTTTTATTATTATTCTTAGAGTTTTTTTTTTTTAATTGTAGGTTTGAAAAGTTGGTTATTAAATTGTACACATTTAATAAAATACACATTTTTCAATTTTAATCTTAAATTTTCCTACACTTTCAGAAATAAAGTTACGGGAGTTGTCACCGGACTCATGTCCCCATATTTGTACCTGAAGGCTCCACAATGGTGACATAAAGGTACATATGGGTACTAATATGTATGTTTTGATGTAAGCATAATTGTTTTGTAATTTTTTTTTGCCAGAATTAAGTTTTAGAACTGTTATTAAATATGAATGTAGAAAGCTTTGCAATATAACCTGAGTATATTAAGTATATATTTGTATTCTTACTCAGTTTTTGCCATGCAGATAGCCAATTATGATCACTTGGCTTTAACTAAAAGATACAATGCAACTAATTTTCCATAACATTTGTACCTTTATACTTATAGTCTGTCTAATTAGCATTACATTAGCAACACGCTAACAACAAACTCTACAGAAGGCAATGGTGTCACTTATCCAAAGCACTGTTTGTGAGTTACTGTGTCCATGTATAGCGTTCAGATCGTGCATTTATGAGCTTTTGTGATGTCTCTTTAAAAGCAGCTGTTTATGTAGTTCACCGACAGTCAGGCAGTTCGCTGGGCTTTAACACGGAGCTAAAGTGTGCATATTTAAAGTGTCCTCCGTCTCCGCGCTCATGCATTTTTAATGTCTTCTTCTGTCACAGTAAGTAATTGGTGGACAGAGGGCTTGAATCGAGCCACAGGAGACCTTCTCGGCTCACTGCGAAGAGCTTAACTGATTTTAAAAGTTAACATGATTGTCCAAATATACAGCTAACGCCATTCATGTGTTAGCATATTTAGGGTTACGAAAATAAGTATGTTTAGGGTTCATTTTTTAGCATGCTAGCTTCTTGGGCGTTATTGCTAGAAGGGATACAGCTGTGGTCAGAAGATAATGATTATTATTTATTTTATTTATTAAATTACTCAGTAATTGTAGTTTTTTTTTAACAATTCCCCACACCCCAAACCTAGACCTACCACAAACAGTAATGCAAAAACAGTAATTATCATGACAGTTATTTATATTATTTACACTAGAAAACCCGATAAGTTAAGATAACTCAAACTATTTGAGAAAACCGAGCAAACCATTTAAGTTATGAAACCAAATTTGAGTACTGTAAACATATATTGAGTCTTATATGAGCAATATCACATGAGTAGAAGTGTGATTGTATATCGACACTGGTGGCAGGCGAGCGTTAGTGTCTTAGTGTCCCACTAGTGATGATATTCAGCCATATCGGTACAAGTGTGATATTGCGTTTATACAACAGTTCAAAGGCATAATCATGTATATTTAGATAAAATCAAATATACAATTTAGAAATCCCTGTATGTATCCCTTGTATGAGGAACTACTTTCTTCCGCCATTCACATCTGCAGCTGACGTCAGAACAGCAGAAATCGTTGCAACTAAACGTCACTTTAGAGCTAGTATTTAAATGATTCTCTAGCATAATGTCTAAAGTGATGACAAAACAGGTGATTTTGCACATTAGGATTATAAGACTGAACATCATGAAATGCCATCAGTCTTGAGACATTTCATAGTTTTTCTCTGTTGCAATCGGGAGATCACAACAATTAACCTTGAAAAAGCCAAAGCAATGCAAACACTACCAGATTACTATGGTATAAATGCAGTACTACAACATGCAAAAGAGAGAGATCGACTTCCAGGGTCACTTACCAGTTTTATAATTAATTGATCAGCTGTAGTTTGAAATTATTTCCTTTCTGTGTTTTGTCAGGACTTTTTGTTGGACGCTTCTCAGCCATGTATCTGGAAATTTATTCACACCCTGCTACTAGACTTGTTGTTTTTTTGTTTTGGACATTTTTTTGCACCATTTTGATTTATGACCATTGGTCAATAAACATTTGCAGTATTCACCTTTGTTGTTTTCTTTTTCTTGGTTTAACGTGACAGATGGATGCTGGCGCGCTGAATCTCTGAAATTATAAATATTTAAAATAGGCGCAATCCTTATAAATAAACTGCATATTTACAATCAAAACAATTAGATTCTTGCCTAAAAAGCCTCAAAATTACCTTGTGTTGCCCAACAGCAGCAATATATGTCAAGCTGTAGTGAGTATTGATCTGCTGTCAATCTGTGGGAGGGGTAATACATAAGAGTGAAGAGGCTGTACGAGTGCTTTTATATTATCAGCCAGTCAGATTCGGGAACCAGACAGAACTGTTGTATTTAAATGCATATTTCATTAGAGTATTAGTAACTTACACATTTTAAGATCAGTTATCAACGCAGTTTGAGTTCAGTTAATAGAATGAATTGCGTCCAAACAACCATCAAGCTACTCAAATTGTTTGGTATTGCCTCTACCTCAGAGTTTACACAACAAAATAAAATTCATTTTATTTGTAACTCAGTTTGAGTTCTGCTTGTTATCATCGGTTTATGAGTTACTATAACTCTTTTCATCAGGTCAAAGTAATTTTTTAAAAATTATGTTAAACTAACTTATTTAATGTAGTGCTTTTCACTGTTAGGTTTCACAGTGTATTGAATTACCCATTAATTGTAGTTTATTAACGTCTACCACGTCCCCAAATCTAAACCTACCACTCACAATTATGTAAAAACAGTAATTTTAATAAGAATAACTTATATTGTTTATTAAATTACCCAATTCAATTGTAATTTATTAACACCTACCCCTGAACCTACCCCCCAGTGTAATGTATAACCAGTAAGTTTTGTTCAAGAGTAATTGAATTGTTGTAATAATATAAATAATTATGGTTCACTTCCGTTTGCAGCTGTAATAATAATAATAATAATAATAATAATAATAATAATAATAATAATTATTCCTTACTTTTATATAGCGCTTTTCTGGGCTCTCAAAGCGCTTTACACATCCACCACTAGTGTATCCCTTCTAGACTTCTCTCTCCAGGCTGTGTTTGCTATTATAGTTGCCCTCAAATTTAATTATCTGTGTAAATTATGCATGGCGCAAATCACATATTGTGCAGGTTGTTGAATTGACTGTATTTTTTTGTCTTGACTTTCATTTCATTATCGACAAAATATCAAAACATGACCTTTACTTGTGACACAATGTTAATTATTATTAATGTAGAAAAAAAATCAGTAGAAGAATTCAATAAAATTTAAGCAAAAACTCAACAAATTTTTATACTTTTTCTGTCTGGTTCTTAAATCTGATTGGCTGATAGCCATGCGATATTCTGCAAAAAAGCAGCCCTCATCAAGGCTTTTCACTTATCACCCTTGTGTATTACTCCGCTCACATACAGTACAGCGACTAGCAGAGGACACTCTACAGTTTGACAAATATTGCTGCTGTTGGGTAACATAATGTACTTTTGCGGCTTTTTATGTGAGAATGTAGTTGTTTAGATTGCAGCTATGCAGTTTATTCATAAGGATAGTGCATATTTTAAATATTTATCATTTCTGGAGACAGCGTGTCGGCGGCCATTAGCCTGTCATACTGACCAGACCAAAGATGTTGTCCATCCACATAATAAGCCCTTAGAAGATTAAAACAGCGTAATTTCTAGCTACAGCTGATCAAATCATTATTAAACAGGTAAGTGATATTCTAAGTCGATCTTTCTCTTTTGTATGCTGTAGTGCTGAATTTATACTATACAATTGTTGTGTATTGAGTGTGAAATGGGACTCTCATATCAGGAATGTGTGTTGTGTTGGCAGAAAGAAAGAAAAAATGCCCACATGTATTTACCGTTTTACCTTATCGCAAACACAACAGCAATCTGGTAGTGATTGCGCTACTTTTTTCCAGGATTAATTATTGTGATTTTTCTGATTGTAAGAGAAATACTGAGATATATCCCTGTAGACTGATGGCATTTTATGCTGTTCTTAAAATCATAAAATGAGCAAAATCACTTATTTTGTCATTAATTTAGACATTACGCTAGAGAATCATTCAAACACTAGCTCTAAAGTGATGTTGGTGAAGTAGCAACGGTTTCTGCTGTTCTGACATCAGCTGCAGATGTTTATGAATGACGGGAAAAAGTAGTTCCTCACACAAAAGGATTTTTAGACTCCATTTTTGATTTTCTTTTTTATACACACAATTATGCTGTCGAACTGTTGTATATATGCAATATCACACTCTTAACAGTGCGATATGGCTGTATATTGGCACTGGTGGGACAATAAGGCACCAGTGCTGATTTTAAAAAGACATTTTTTGAAGGGGGCTAATAATTCTGAATTGTGTGTGTGTGTGTGTGTGCGTGTGTGTGTGTGTGTGTGTGTGTGTGTCACACAAACATAGTTGAATTCAGAATTATTAGCCCCATTTAAAATTTTTTCTTCTTTTTAAAATATTTCCCAAATGATGTTTAACAGAGCAAAGACATTTTCACAGTATGTTTGATAATATTTTTTTCTTCTGGAAAAAGTCTTATTTGTTTTATTTTGGCTAGAATAAAAGCAGTTTTAATTTTTTTAAACACCATTTTAGGAACAAAATTATTATCCCCTTTAAGCTATATTTTTTCTTAAATATCTACAGAACAAACCGTCGCATTACAACAACTTGCCTAATTACCCTAACCTGCTTAGTTAACCAAATTAACCTAGTTAAGCCTTTAAATGTCACTTTAAGCTGTGTAGAAGTGTCTTGAAATATATGTAGGAAAATACTATTTAAAGTCATCATGGTAAAAATAAAATAAATCCATTATTAGAAATGAGTTATTAAAACTATTATGTTTAGAAATGTGTTGAAAAAATATTTTCTTCGTTAAACATAAATTGGGGAAAAAATAAACAAGCGATCTAATAATTCAGGGGTGCTAATAATTCTGACTTCAACTGTATGTGTTATATATATATATATATATATATATATATATATATATATATATATATATATATATATATATATATATATATATATGTGTGTGTGTTTGTATGTATGTCTATGTGATATAATATCTAATAATATGTACATAATATGTGTGTAATATGTGTATATAGTGTATGCTTGTGTATGTATGTACTGTATGTATACACACACACATCTACACATAGTTCTAAATCAACCTTCCCATTAAAGAGTACAAACTCAGTTTATTGGATCTTAATATATGCAATAAATAATCATATAAATGTTTTGATTGCACATTTTGTCTGATTCCACATTCTTTGATTTGCAAAATCAGCTTAACACAGTTTCTGTGACTTGTCCTCCTTGTTGCTAAGCAATAGAAGAGCACAGAAAATGAGCGGAGCTCAACGACGATGCCACTTTATCTGGACTCAAACCAGCCTGCAGCTCTGCATCTGCTCAACATTCATTTCAGTTGTCCAAAAACACGTCTCATATGCACGTTTGTGTGTCTGTGTGTGCATGTGTGTTTTTCAGGCAGGGTTGGATTGGCCTAGCAGGTGGATGCTCCTGTTTGCCAGGTGGGCTTCCCACTGACACAACCTCAACTCTTTCAGTTAGAGAAAGCTGAGTGATCGCTGGCCAGATAAAGAGGGCAACCCCGTTCCCTCCTCCGCAACACGCCACAGCTGTGTGAGAACCAGGAGCAGGGGTTTGTGGGACATCAACAGTCTCTAACAGGTGAAAGAGTTCAACTAGTGCTCAAGAAGAGGAGACACTGCAAGAGAAACAGTTTTTTTTCATGCACCTGTCAGTTGAGATTTTCCTAAAGTGTTTTTTAATGTCAAGAAAACATCCAAAATACACTTATCCAATGTACCCGAGTGTATATTTTATTGCGCTTTATCAATTTGTGTCAACAAATACAATACATATCTTTTTAAAGGCATACATTTTCACTTCAGCAGCTAATACAGACATCAAACTTTATTCATTTCTGTGTTCTGAAGGTTTTTGCTGAGGGAAATGTGCATATATAATTTGCCTGATTATATACAACATTTTACTCTACAAAGAAATTGTGAAACCTTTTTCTGACTGTTATAGAGTGATAAAGAGATTTCCAAAAATCATCTCTGTAAAATCCTTTAACTTTAATGTAAAAAATAAATAAATATATATATATATATATATATATATATATATATATATAAACAATTTTGAACCACATTTTATCTTCTGTTCTTTCTTTTTGTGCTAAAAGTGCATATTTAATGAAATAATACACAATTTTAATAATATTTAAAGATAGCATACTATAAGACTATTAATGCACATAATAATTGCACAATGGAGGCCTGTTCATGTTATTAATCTATCTATCTGTCCGTCCGTCCGTTCGTCCGTCTATTGTTCTGTCTATCTGTCCACCCGCAGTGTATTACTAGCATTTGAGGAATATTTGGTAATACAGTTTTGGATTAGGTAGGGTTATTAAGATTGGCTTTAAAGGGGACTGAGGCAATAATTTATTCTACCTTTCATGAGGTAATCGCAAAAATTTTAGGGGGGCTGAATAGAAATATAGGGGGCTAAAGCGATGCCCATGCTGTTTAACAATTGTACCTGAATGTTTCAGCGAGACATCATTCAGTTGACTTGTCGATGTCTTCAAAAAACTCTCTTTTTCACAGCTGCTGTGGTTGTCAGGGGTGGGGAATGGCGCAATTTGAACAAAAATGCACTGATTTCAACAAATTAAGGTGCGAGTAAAAAAACCCAAAAACATTTAGTGTAGTTAAAGGTGACGTAAATACGTAAATTAGAGAAGTTTAATCAGCAAAACAATTATTGATCCTTAGAAGTCGTAATTCCCAAACAGCTTGTGGAAAAAAGTGGGCATACTGAGTATAAAGCCACAACTTTACACCACTAATATATATATATATATATATATATATATATATATATATATATATATATATATATATATGTGTAACGGAGGCCAGCCAGTAGGGGTTGGGTGGTGTAGAGCCGGCGGGGTTACATTGGTGCCGTGACCCGGATGGGAGTGAGGTTTCGGGGGGTGAGTGTAACGGAGGCCAGCCAGTAGGGGCTGTGCAGGTAAACCTCACTCCTCTGACCTCTAAACGTGCTCTAGCGACAGTCGCTAGAGGCCATGGTCTTTAGCCTCCTTGTTGGAGCAACCGACTCCCATGCGGAAAGTCGCCGGTTCGAAACCAGCTCGGAGCGGGTTGGGTGGTGTAGAGCCGGCTGGGTTATATATATATATATATATATATATATATATATATATATATATATATATATATATATATATATATATATATATATATATATATATACACAGTTGAAGTCAGAATTATTAGACCCCCTGAATTAATTTTTTCGCCAATTTCTGTTTAACAGGGAGAAGATTTTTTTAAAATACATTTCTAAACATAATAGTTTTAATAACTCATTTGTTTTATCTTTGCCATGATGACAGATATATAAATATATATATATATATATATAACATTTTGAAACAGATCCCTTGTTTTTAATTTTTGTGCTAACAGTGCATATTTCATTGAATAATAGGTGATTTAAATATTAATATTTAAAGATGGCATATTAGAAAACTAGTAATGCAAATAATAATTGCACAATGCAGGCCTGTTCATGTTCTGTCTATCCGTTTATCTATCTATCTATCTGTCTGTCTGTCCGTCCGTCCGTCCGTCCGTCCGTCTGTTTTGAATTCTCTTTTGCTTTAACGTATATGCTAGGCTTTCTTTTGGTGCAGTTGTTGTAAAATATATATTCATGGGAAAAGAATCTTTATTAACCAATTTGAAGCAAAATAGTATAATTATTGTTGTAAACAAATTATATAAACATATTTATTTATTTATTTGTTTATTTATTTTCTCAACCAGAGGGGCAAAAATAGTTCAGTGATGCAAAATAAAAATATTGTTATGAAGATTATTGTTATTTTTGTACATGTTTTTTGTGCAAGATCAGAATGAGGGATATTACAACAGTAAACAGACCCATTTTATTTCCACATTGTCTTTAAAGCAGCTTATTTTTTACCATAGTTGAAAAGAACCGAGTGTGACCCCTCAGTGATTGATTTTCCCCGAATCATTGAGCATATGCTAATTTACTGGCTTGTCCGGTCAGTATCGCAAATGGCGTCCAGTAACTGCTGCTTTAATTGAACATGTCAATCATCTGTAAATTGCTGGAGCAGATCGGCAGGAGCGAGCCTTTCTACGCACGGCATTTTCTTTCTTTTAACTTTTATTCCTGCGCGCCTGTGTTCTCCTCCTGATTAAAGCTGTCGTTCAGCTTCCTCTTGAGTGTTCTTGGCAGCGGTGTGTGTGTTTCTGAGTGAGACGTGGGCTGTTTTTCAGCATTTTCCTCCTGAGGGTGTCACTGTTGTGTTGCTGGTTGGTCTTGAGCCGGTCTTGTCTGTCTTCCAGAGCATCATCTGCAGCGCTGAGCCACATCCACAAACACACATTGCATATTTACATAAATCTACATCAAGAGAACATCCAACAATGAGTACATATACACAAATGACCAGTGAATTAGATTGAAGCCATTTCAAATTCAATTTAATGGAAAAAGAAACTAATCTACTATGTATATCAAGAATTTTTAGTGGAGTTTTCTTTAGATTTCAAAACACATGAGAGGTCAAGCTATTGGCTTTACTGCTTTGGTTAACTAGATAAAATGGCTGCTGATGCTTGAGGTAGATGCTAATTATGATAAAACACTTGACCCAAAAATACTTGATAGTTAGCAAATTTGACCTCTTAATCTCACCTTTTCAACACACAGAGGTTTCAAACCCCATGGATTTCATAGCAATGCACTCTGCAGCTTTAGCTAGATGCTATAGCTGCCAAAACAAACCTCCCAAAAAACACATTTTAAATACATCCTGACCTGAATAATTCTGTCTAACGTTTACCATTCACTTTTTCAATACTTATGAGAGGCATTAAACTTCAGTACTGCTTGGGTTAGAAGCTAACAATCCCAGCTAACGTTTTAGCTATATGCTAACTATAAAAAATTGTCAAAATTTGGCAGCTTTGACTCTTGACCTTGAGATTTCAATACACACCGGAAAGAAGAGGGAAACAACTGCTACAATGCTAAGTACTTCTTCTTTAGCAATATGCTAGCTATAAGACACTTGTGTAACATTCAGCAACTTTGGCCCCTTGTTTCAATAGACATGAGAGGTCAAACGGCTCTGGTTTTCTAGCTAACCATGACTGCTGATGTTATATGCTAACTAGCAAACAACACCTTTTGTAGCTTCAGCTATATGCTAACTTGCAAAAAAAAATCTTGCCCTAAAGTATTTAAATAATGACCTAAATAAATCTAACATTAACTAACGTTTGACTCCTCACTTTTACAGTCCACATGACAAGAGACAGAACATCTTTAGTACTGCTTAGGGCTATGGAAGCTAACATGTTAACAAAACTAGCAAAAACTGGTGAAACAAAATGGTTTTTATATAAAACCCTGCTGAAACGCTGCCTTAACCAGAACCAGCCTAAGCCGTCCAGCCTGGTTTTAGAACGGTTTGGGTCATTTCCAGGCTTGTTTCAAGCATTTCCAGCTTGACCAGCCCCACATAGCAAAATATCTCTGTCCCAGCTGTGGTCAGCTTCTGCTTGGCCCAAGCAGTGAATTACGGCACATGACTGGACCAAGTCTGGCTTCCAGACAATGGCCAAAAATAGACCGTATCTGGGCCAAGTCTCAGCCAAGTTAACTCATAAATGAGCCTGAACTGAGCCAGATATGTTGGTGTGTCACAACTGCAATGAAATTGATAAACCTACGAATCAATGCGCTTTAGGTGTGCTATGGGTGTGATTTATCTCGAAGCAACCTGATTTGTAGATTTTTATTTTTCTTCATTTAAAAATAATAAAAATGCATTTTAAATGTGGGTCAAGATAGGCCAAACTTACACGGCCCACGAATCACTTATTAACTTCTGGACCAAGTATTGTGTGCCACCTTAAAGACGGTGTCCCCATGCTTTATGCCAGTGTCGGATAAATGGGCCAGTATATTGGCCAGAATTCTTTGCTACTTGGTGCCTGTCCATCTTAAACCAGGAGGGTCAAGATAGATTTAGATGGTTTTAGCTCATTATTTCCAGCCTGACCACCTAAGACCAGGTGAAAAATGTCTGAAACCAGCCTGGAAATGGCCAAAACCCCTTTAAAACCAGGCTGGTCAGCCAGCTAAAACCAGCCAACCAGCTTAGGCTGGTTTAAGCTGTTTGTTTTGTTAGCAGGAAAAAGAAACAAAATGTGATTAGCAGGGTGTGATTTTTTTTTTCTGTTTTTCTTCGACCACAAAATGCTAAACACCATTTCAAAACTTCCCACTTAGATATGCTTGGCGTTTATAGCTGGTTTGACATGCTGTCCTGGAAGAGAACCCTGAGCTCGGAGATACTTTAAACCCAGGTTCCTGCCCGGTTAATAAGCATATAAGGGGATCCTCTTAGAAAGGGAGGAAAAGGAGGAGATGGGGTGGAAGGGGGGATTCTTTCAAAACGAAGTTAGAGTAGTAGGGAGAAAACAATCCATTCATAGTAAGCTTGGATCACTCTGATTGGATTATTACTGATTACAGATGAGCAGCCAGTCATGCTCAATCATATCACGTGCTTCTCTCGAAATTATTTTGTGAAACTTCACTTGATTACTTGTGTAAGCATGTAAATATCAAATTGTAATATTTTTTACACCAGAAGATATTCACTGAAAAAAATGTTGGGGTTCCAAACAATTGATTTGCAATGAGACAACTTGAAGGAATTAAGTTAACTTACTATTTTTTTTAGATTGAAAGTAAAACAATTAAGTTGTCCCAAAGAAATCTCAAGAATTAGTTTTTTTTTCCAGTTTATTTTATATGAGTTGAATAAACAGCAAATATAAAAATGTATTGAGTGTATGTGGATTCAAAATGCACATGCTTGACAATGACCGGATGTAAAACAGACTTAATGGTAAACACAGCAGACTACTGTAAAATGCAGCGTTTCTAGTCTTAGTTTTGCCAAGCTGTT